CTCTCCCCAGGTCCCCGCAGGCAGGAAGAAGGGAAAGAACAAAGGGCAGATACCATTGAGGCCAACCCTCCTCCTCTAAGGAGCTTTCCCAGGAGTGTCCCCCAACAGTTTTTACTTACATCTCATTGGTCAGAGCTGTCCTGTGGCCACCCTTCTCCGCAAGGGGAGCTGGGATGGGCTCATTTTCAGCTGAGAGCGTGGCCACCCCCAACAAAATAAGGCTTCTGTTAGCACGGAGGAAGGCGAGAATAGATACTGGGCAGGCCACTCAGTTGGAGTCCCGCCACACTCCCAGGCAGAGCTGACGCTTCCACAACACATTATTCTTTCCTTTATGATGGCCATTTTGGGTTGTAATATAATTTATGTGTTTATAATTTATGTCCTCACTTGACCGAGAGCGCTCATGTGCAGACACTGTGGCTGACTTAGCTCTCTGTCCCTGATGCTCAGCGCAGTGCCTGGTAGAGACAGGTGTTTGCAAAAAGTTGGATGGATGAATGCTTAAATGGATTTTGAAATGAGAATGATCGATGCACATAGATTCTTTGTGTTTCCTGTGCGGAAGGTCTGTGGGGGTTAGGTAGACTTTATAAGCCCATCCGACCATGATTGCTACTTCATCTCCAGTAAATTAAACCTACCCAGCTGCAGTGTGTCACCTTTCCTGACCACCTATTACAGTATGCTTTGCGCTCAGAAGAAACTGAGCAAGCCGGTCAGAGGCTGTTATGTGCACCTGTCTCAGCCTAAAGAGCCTCGATTAACCTTGTGTATAAATTACACTTCCTGCCCATTCTTTATTTTTAGCTCGGCAATATCCTACTTGGCGCCTCCAGGGAAGACTGCATTAGATTTCAGGCATGAAACTACAAAACAGTGGCATTTCTATCCTGGCCGGGATCACTCTTATTAACCCATAACACTGTTTCTTGGGATGCTCCTCAGGCCCAAGGACTCAGGTTTCCCAAAGAAAAATAGCAGCCTGGGCCATCCAGCACCCTTGGGACCTGACCTAAGCCCACATGTGCATTTGTAGAGAAATCTGCCACTTGGTCTGAGTTGCTTAGACTTACATATGCTGTTGATTTCCCTCGTTCATTTCCTTTGGGTGAAACTCAGTTGTTCTTATCTCAAAAGTCTAGTTTCGTTGCTTTTTTTCTCTCTCTCCTTCTCAATTACCCACTATCATGACCCAAATCTTCAGCGTTTGAACTATATAGCTGAGAGCCCTGAAACCCATAGGCCAGGGGCAGGCTGCGGAGACAGTCGGCCAGCCAGTGAGCTTCAGGTCACAGCGGATTCTTAACCACTTGGGGCTACTTCACTGGGAGAGCAACTGACTTGGAGCCAGCCTTTTTTTTTTTTTTTTAAAGTCAGCCACTTTTGACTCGATCTTGTTTATTGTAGAACCTCTAGTGCCCACCTCCAAGTCAAGCCAAACAAGCTATGTAAATATTGATTGAACTGCCTGCAAATCCATGTTGGAGTGCACCGTTTAACTCCTCACTTGACATGAGCAGTGGAGGCCCTGGCTGCTTTCCCGGGCCACAGCCTGTGAAACGCTGCCTTATCCGCACCAGGCCAAGGGGGCATTTTTAAAAGCGATTAATTGTTTTTATTCTGCTTAAAGAATACATTTTTTTTAAAAAAAATTGGGAACATGTTGAACAAAATTAAAATCACCCAATATTCCATTACCCAGAGACAATTACTACAGATATTTTCCTGTTTTCTCAATCTTTTTTTTCTATTGATTTTTAAAGAGAGGAATGGAGAGAGAGAGAGAAATGTCGATCAGTTGCCTCCTGCATGTTCCCTACCGGGGATCGAGCCCACAACCTGGGCATGTGCCCTGACTGGGAATCGAACCCACCACCTTTTGGTGCACGGGACAACGCTCCAACCAACTGAGCCACTCGGCCAGGGCTATTTTCTCAGTCTTAATCCTCATGAAGGGGTGACCTGTATCCTTCCATGTTTCTCTGAGGCTTGGGGGAAGTGAGGCAAAGGTAGCTTATATTTTTTCTAATGTTTTATCTTCAGGTATTATTAGTATATCTATATATATATCTATCTATCTATATACCTATATATAATTAGGATACATATATATCATATTATACACATATATAATATATATTCTTATTAATACATTACTATTTGAGCTGTATCACTTAGCTGTTGTCACAATAGTACTTTATGACCAACTACTGTCAAACTCAGTGGTTTAAAACAAAAATCATTTATTCTTGTTCATACTTCTGTGGATAGACTGGGTGTTTGCTGATCTAGGCTGGGCTCAGCAGAGCAGCTCTAATTTAAGGTGCAGGTCTGCCTGGGCATGGCTCCTGACTCTGGCTTGGGCTCTGGTCTACTCCCCACGTGTTCTTTCAGTGGCCCTGGCTGAAGGGACAGCAGTTACCAGGAGCAGCAATTTGATGCTGCCCGATCAGGCAAACACATTCAAGACTCTGCTTGTGTTGTGCCTGCTACCACCCCGTGAACTAAAGCAGTCGAGGGGCAGGGGAGTATCTCTACACACCATGAAGCCAAAGCAGATCACATGGCCAAGAGCAACATCAGTGGGTCAGGGACGTACTCCTCCCGTGGGGGTGAAGGAGGAAAGGAGAGAATATGTTTGAGAGTAGTTGACTCTACCCACATCCTAAATACTTGCTGAGGTGTCTGTCTGTTGAGATGCAAAATGAAATCTGCACAGAACCCCCCTGGCCTGGACTATCCTCCAATATTTCCCAGAAGCTTCTAGCCCAGAGCTAGAATTCACCCTGGTTTGAGAAATCTTGAAGATCTCACCTCAGTTGAACCACAGCTTTTTGCAACTTTGTTCACTTTCATTGGTTCAACATACTTGTGTTGAGCATGTGTGCCCTCTCCATGAAGAATTTATAACCTAGTAGGGAAAATTAATAATTTATAGATGCTCCAACACCTAGAGTTACTAGAGTTACTAAACCTCAGCACTATTGATATTTGGGGCTAGATAATTCTTTGTTGTGGGGGCTGTCCTACTGTCCCATGTATTGCTGGATATTTAGCAGCATCCCTGACCTCCACCCACTAGATGCCAGTAACACCAACTCCACTCTCTTTGAATTATGGACAATCAAAGTGTCTCCAGACATTGCCAAATATCTCCTAGGGGACAAAAAAAATCACCTCAGTTGAGAACCACTGCTCTAACATAGTAGATTTGATAAGACCTCTGATAAGCTAAAATAAAATGCTAATAAATTCTCAGAGGAGGTGATGTTATTTTCTGGGGGTGAATCTGTGAAAGCCTCCTGGGGTGGGTGGTATAAGAGCAGAGGCTTTAAGAATGGTTGGGCTCTGAGATGGGTTTCTCAGAGGAGGGGAACGTGAGGGGTACAGATGGGAGTGCAAGGAGTAGCTCTGTTTGACTAAAGTGTAAGTGAGAGAGGCCTGTTGGTAAGAGTGGAGGCCATGTAGGTACTAGCCTCCCAGTACTAGGGCCTTCTAAGTAATTGTGAGGACTTCCACTTTTACTGTGAGTGAAATGAACATATCTGAAACTGCATTCATTTGGAGGGGCTGCGATTGTGCATAGAGCTTGTCTGCATAACCCAGAGTAATTGCTACAAAGTCTCATCCATCCAGAGGCTATTTTCTGATGCCCAGGAAGGAAACAGAAAAGGCCTCAGGGGGTGCAGTGCACCCCTAAATAACTCTGTGCTTGTACCTTGGTGTTCCTCACCCCAGAAGACCTCACTCTGAACTCTTCGCTTTAGGCCTGAGTCTCACAGACTTGGCTTGGCCTCTCCACGGCAGCAGGTTAGAAGGTGGAAGGAGAGGGCTAATAGAGGCAGACACGGACCCTGCAGCAAAGCTTCTAGTATGGCAGATGGGGAAGAGACCAGAAGCAAAATTGAATGAATGAGTGAACAAATAAATTCAGAGCAAATAATTTAGGAAGCACAATAGTCTACAGTCCTTTCGGCAGGGGACGTCCACCCCTTCATAACCCCAAAGGCATTGCTGCATAACAGTGCCACCCTAATATGCCAACATACTCAGTGTTTAACAAGGCAGGGATATGGGGAATACTCTAGAGCCCGTATGGTAAGAGTTTAGCACAGTGTTAGGAGCAGGATCTAGAGTTAGACATCCTGGCTTGAATCCTAGCTTTGAGGCTCTGCAACAGTAAACTAATCCCTTGTCAAGCCTTAATGATCTCATCTGTAAAATGGGCATTCCTTACTTACAGGGCGTCGGGAAGGTAAAATAAGGCATGTGAATTCTTAGCTCAGTTCCTGGCACCGAATTAGTGCTCAGTAAAAGTTAATTTATTGCTATTATTTCAATGAAAAAATTCAGCTACTGAGACCTCCCCCAAATCATAACTGTCACTGCTGTTCTGGAATAGTCCCAGAGTCTCCAGGCTGTGCTGAAATTTTCCTTTCGGGAAATACATATAGGATGGCTATGAAAACTGAGGAAAGTTCCAGAAGAGTAGGGGCTATTGCGTCGGTCCAATTCATCTCCTCTCTTTTGGATAGTAGAGGGAGACGACAGCAGGCTCTCAAGGGTACTGGCCACCTGCCATTTCTTGGTAACATATTTCCTTTGAGGAAGATTGGCTCTTCGCCCTTTGGCCAACCTGGTAGACAAGCAGTTACTCCGAGATAGCCAGGAGAACATGAAGCTGTTTGCCTTCAGGTAGTATGTCCTCTGCTATGTAAAAAGATCTGTCTCCATGAAGAACATGCCCGTTGAGCATATTGCAAAGTGGTGGCGGTGAACTAGCGGCAGCAGCTCTGGGTGGTTGTCCTTTGACCAGGGTCTGCTCAGTGGCAACACTGAAAACACAGGATCCTCTGTAATGTAAAACCTTGGCCTGCGACCTCAGCATAAAGTAAAACGGAGCCGGGCAGGAAGTCACCCCACAGGAAGGAGCTGCCCTCGGGCCCTGGGGTGGCAGGACAGTAAAGTGACCCATCCTCTGTTTGTGTGTTTTCCAGGCTGGAGCAGGAAATACAAGCACTAGAAAGTGAAGAGTCCCAGATATCCGCCAAAGAGCAAATCATCCTAGAGAAACTAAAAGAGACGGAAAAATCCTTCAAGGACTTTCAGAAGGTGAAGGAAACAATGTGATTTCTCTAAACTAGACCCATGGGGAAGTGAGCACCAGCAAAATGGTGCCAACTGGAGAAAAGGCCAGTTGGAGAATAGGCCAGTTGGTATTGATGAGGAGGAGGCTGAGCCACATGCCCTGGAAATGAGGGACAGGTGTGTGAGGACAGTGCCATCTCTGAAGCCAAGAGTGACCTGTCTGCTGGCATCACCTGGCCTGCTGGGGAGGCAGGGAGAGTCATTCCATTAACCCCATCGACCTACTGCCCAAACTCTTTGTCTAGTGCCTGAGAAACCAATCTTCCATTGGACTCTAGCATCCTAAAAACAATTCTTATTTAAGCAGATGAAACATGCTCCTGTGGCTTTAATTTAAATATTTCCTTTATATATATATATAAAAAATATCAAATGGACATGAATTCGAAAAACAAAGTGTAGATCCATGAAATTTTACTGGATGCAAAAATAGTGCCATGTAGCAAAGAGGAGAGAATCCAGAAAGCCAGTAGGCTCTGACTATCTCAGGACCTTCTCTCCATTCAGTAACTCCTGTTCCCTCAGGTACCCCTTGGCCATAGGAAAGCAGTCTAAACAAACCAGTTTTCTGATCTGATTCTCTGATATCACTTCTCCAACATAACCAAGGGTAGCTGCTGGATAATCAAAAGAAATCTCCACTGGGAGAAATTCGGTAGAAGGTGAGGATGGTAAACCTGTCCCTTAAATTTCAGGATCCCAAACAATTTTCCCAGAAGAACAGAGAGCACTGGGTTTGCCCATCAAAGCCAAAATCTGGAGGTGGGCGGGGGGAGAGAGACAGGTTAGATGAAAGAGGGACTATCTCCTTGCAGATGTAGTAACGCTCTGCCCTGCTTTTTTTTCCACAGAGCTTCTCCAACACGGATGGAGGTAAGTGTAACGCTCTCTGCCCCGTCTGTACATGAATGTTTCCACCCGGTCAGCTTAGTCTCATGAACACAGGCTCACAGGAGACGTGGTGTGTTGGTTTGTCAGGGCAACAGAAAGAAAGAGCCCGCGGGGCACCGAGGAGGCCCACGGCCCGCATCTCAGGCCTTCTTGGCCTCTCTTCTTCAAGGGCTGTCTCTCCACTCGCTGTTTCTAGTCTCATATAGTTGGCCTGGCTCTTCTCCTTCCCGTTCATTCCCCGGAGGTCACTGCTTGGACGTTTCTTGAAAGATGCTCAGCAGAGAGTATTAACATCAGGACCAGACCTCAGGCAGGAAGGAGCTCATTTGTGCCCGTGGTTAGGTCTCCAGGCCAGACACCCATCAGAAGGCCACTACCTGGTGTCTAGGAAAGCTTTCTAGGCTCTGGTTTTTCTTTGATTCGGGAAACCACAGTTTCTGCAGCCTTCCAGGGAGGCTCTCCTCCCTGGGGGGCACAGTTGGCCAGGAGCATGTGAGGTGAGGGAGCAGGGCCCCCACCCGGCAGGAGGGGCCCTCACTCCCGCTGTGGCTTCCCTGCCTTGCCCCTGCCCTCCGCTATCCTTACCTAGGGCCATGGGAATGAACTTGGGATTGTGTGCCTCGCATTCCTCACCTTGCTCCCCCAAACTTAGCTACGAACTCAGGAAAACCACCCGATTCCCACTTTCACTCTGGCCCTCAGCTAGACCTGCTTCGAAATGTTGGACTTGTCAGAAGGACCAGGTCCCATCTGCTCACCTGCTTCTTATAAAGCCAACCTCTAAACTAGGAAGAGAGCCAGGAGCCAGAATAGGAGTTGACATCAGTGTTTTTCCAACGTCATCTGGAAATACATGGGAAAAGATTTAAAAATGCAGGGATGGGTGATGTATTTTTCTGGATGAGCCAAGATACTTGCATTAAGGCTAATTCTGACTTT